TTTCAAAGATATCAAGGATTGATGGACTTGGGACCTAATGTTATCTAGTCAAACTGCTACCTGTTTGCTCTGAGTTACATAAATCATATGCTATAGTCATGAAAAATATGAATTGCAAAAGCCCTTGTTGCTACAAATGAGCAAAATTTCGGCCTGAATTTGGTAAACTAAAAACTTTCAGAAGTTACTCTAAAACACGAAAATCATTTAAATTTAATTATTTTTCAAACTAAAAATTTATTTTTGTACATATTCTTTGATTTTGATTGGGGCAATACAAAACTTTTGGAGAAATTGGGTTCATGGAACATTGCGCATTAATGTACTTGTCTTTACACAATTAATATGCTTTGCGTTTTTGAACAATGGTGGTGAAAACAATTTAATTTCCTAAAAAAATTAACTGTATCTATCAACAAAAAGACAAAGTTGACGGATCTAAAAAATAAAGTAGCAAATAACCCTTGCGCGTCCAAAATTAAATTTCAAAAGATTTGAGTAACTTTTTCTCAAACGAGACGTTTTGCATGAGGTGGTAACCAGAATTATTTTCTATGCAGTTCAGCAGTACGCGGATACAGTCGAGCTCGAAGTTATTTAATTTAGGTTTTATAGATTAAACGTTGCTTGTGTAACCATTTAAATGGTGTGAAAATGTTTGAAGCTGCAAAAACACTTGGAATTGATCTCAAAAAAATCAAGTACTGTCAAATAAATTGAGATGATTTTTTTTGAATTGAGTACTTAAAATGAAATTTTTATTCTAAAAAGTTACACACAGAGGCAAAACGGAGCTTTGCACTACTTATGATACCAATAGAATAGCATTTCAAGCTAGCAGACTGGAAAGAAAAGTCACTAAGTTCAAAAAAGGAAGCACACTTGCAGCCATAACTAAAAAAATTCAAAATATTGTATGGATTAATGTTTTATTTGCGAAAACACAATCGACGACGTTTGACGAAGATTCAGAAAACTTATTGAGCAGAATTTGAGCCGACAAAACTTGAGTAATTTCCAGTAAAACGGAAAACCAAGTTTGTGTCATGAAAAACTTTGAACTATAATTTCCAATTTCAGATTTGGTATTTTGTGCGATCTGTAGTGGAGCTCAAAAGTTATGTTTACAAAAGTTAGGCCACAAAAGTTGCAAAAACGAAAATTAATACGGAGTTAAGGCAGATAAAATTACAAACTGGCGGAGTAATTGAAAACACTAAAAAATAACAAGGAAAACTTGCTACAGTTGAAAAACGAAGGAAGATGTGGCAGCTAAGCCGACAAAATAAGCAGACAAACAATAAGCCGATAATTTTATTTGAAATTGAATCTTTCCCGTTTAAAAAAATAACACGTCTCTGTCTGGGTTAAATCCAGCAGCTTTGACTTCCTAAGCGTATTTTTTAAGGCCAATGTAAAATTTTGTTTTCGTTTTGAACCAAGGGACCACCAGAAAATGAAGTGATCACCAGTAAAATACTTGAAGTGACGACCAGTAAAATACTTGGTCTCTGTCAGGTTTGAATCCAGCAGCTTTGACGTCCCAAGCGTATTTGTTAAGGCCAATGTAAAATTTTGTTTTCGTTTTGAATCAAGGGACCACCAAAAATTGAAGTGACCACCAGTAAAATACTTGAAAGTCACCATTCGGAAAAAATATATTATAGAGTAGTTTGCCCATAAATTGTGATCAAATGTGCACGAGCTGCCAAATATATAACCGGTTTTTTGGGAAAAAAACTAACAATTTTAGCTCTTACCAAGTGTATACTTTTATTATGACAATTTATCCACCAGAAAAAATTTCAAAATACCAGTTGTTCAGCTCTTCACGGAAAACCGCTGGTGTGTCTATGGTTTCAGGATCTACACGCCATTTTTTGGCTACGTTTGTGGGCTGGATAATGTTGCCGTAAACTCAAGCATCAAGGGTGGCCTCGAATAACGACATATTAATTCACCAGCCTTTCTCCTCAATTTATTTAAACTTTAAAATATTATTGGGAGTTGAAATTAAAATTAACAGCTTGACGTTTTTGTTCGATGATTAACTCTCTTCTGAGAAGTGCCAACTATTACCGAATTTTCGCGAGCATAAAAACAAGTTATCGCGCACCTTTTGATGCTCAAAATATCAACTAAGGAATTCAATTCAGATGGAAAATAAAAAAAAACACATTAGGGTAAAAAAAATTGTCAATCTTCTTTTCATTCAAACAAAGATTTTATCAATTTTTTATCTATTACCAGCGAATTTTTCTCATTCAAAAGAAAAATTTTAGGAAGAAAATCTCTATGTTGTACAAAAATTTGAAAACAAACTAATGGAATTTCAGTGAAGTGGCTGACTTAGTTTCCGAACTCCAATTTTTTAAAAAACGAGTTTGAAAAATTTCTTTGCTTAGATAACACAAGGTTCATAATGAACTTTTAATTTGTAATTTTTATCTCAATTTATGCGGGGAAATTTGTAAATTTTAGATATCATTGTTTTCGGGTTTCAAAATAAATTTGGCAAAATGAATTTAGGCCAACATTAGTAGCAAATCAAACACAAGCGCCATTAAAATACAAATGCTTTCAATTTTAGAAAAAAAATTAAAAAAAAAAAATCATATATCACAAGGATTGCATAAGTCTTTAAAAAGTCCGAAATTTTCAAGATGTAAAAAGCATGGGTTGAATTCTGTACTCTAACCTTAGACAATTGTCGTCTAGAGCACAAAGATAACTCTGCTTCAAATAAATAGGATCTGACAAATCCGTGAACTTCAATTGATTATAGATCAAGCCATCGAAAGATTCGGTGATTTTTTTAAGCAAACTGTTTGCGCAAGACGATCTGCATGACTATATATATCACCGGCCAACGTAACTTAGGAAACAAATTAAACAGTTTATGAGTACTTCAGAAAATGAAAGTTTTTGAAGAGTTTTGGGTATTTTAGAGAAAAAACGATCTATCAAAGCGTAATTTACGCAAACTATCATTTTAAATCATCAGATAAATAAATAACTATTCGATTCTTTTCCGAATGAAATTTTGTTAAATCTAAATATGAAAAGAAAATCGTTATCTTCTTCTTGCGAAGCAGTTAAAAAAAACTCGGCACTAGTCTATAGATGTAAAGAACTTAAAATCAAAAATCAAAGCAAAGAAGGCTGCTTAATTTAAGACACAGGCTGGTAGAAAATAGGCCAATCCAGAAAATGTTTGAAAGAAATCTCTTTGAGAAGGAATGGCTGAAATTATATTTTGCAAACATGCAATCTTGAAAACATGATCCCAAAATGATCCGACGAAATTTTGCATCGAGAAAAATTTGTGACTTCTGCGCTTTTACAATGGTAAACACACAGAGGCAACAAGCAAGTAAAAGCAAAAAGAGCAACAAAACTGAAATGAAAGTTGCTAGATAAATTTGAGTTGAATTTCAACTCAGTTGAGTTGAAACAAAACAATATTATTGACGTTCATCAATTGTATGTTTACGGTCTTCTCAAATTTTGTATGCAATCAGTCATTAACTAGCATTCGAATGACTTTCTCAATCAATTTTTTTTGCTGAAATCAGCAACAATAATAATACAAGATGATGAGTTTTTCCTACTTTCAAAAACTTTTGTGTGAAGAAAATCAAATCTGCTTTGAAAAACCGGGGATCTAAAATTTTGAGCACCTTGAGCGTTAATATTTTATGGCTAAAAAAACTCGGTCAAATGAGTCATCGTGAACTGTCGGTGTGCGTCCACAAATTAAAAAACAACCTTTTGGTAAATTCCGAGTTTGTTCATTTCATATTTAAAAACTGTGAACATCAAAATAAATTTTCCCCAAAACTCCTTCCAAAAAATAAAATGTTTCCTAGTATCAATTTTAATGCTACCACAAGTGTTAAATAACTCCAATTCTACTCCTCAATGCTCCTAAAATGTGACTGCTCAAATTGTGCTGCTTTTCGAGAAATCGCAGTTTTTCTGAAAATTCCAGTTTTCTTTAATAACTTGATAAATTAAAAAACCCTTCGTAAGTTCTTTCATGAATATCTGTACTTTTAAAATTAAACTGATTTTTATAAATGGCAAAATTGATTTAACTGAAGAAGGAAATTTTGATAAACTTTTTTTTTATTTCATTTTTTGAGGTGCTACGGCAAGAGTTTAGTTTGGCTTCGCATCTAGTCGAAAGATATGACGGCTCTGTTAATTGTCTTTTTGAAAAAGATCACTTTCTGACAGTCTAGATTAAAATGAAATTAAACTTAGAAATTATTTTATCAGTTGGGCTCTCAGTGGGAGTTTATTACTCCCTTTGTCTATCCTCTCACTAATAGGGCTCTCAGTGGGAGTTTATTACTCCCTATGTCTATCCTCTCACTAATCAAAACGTTATCGATAACTATTACTTGTATAAACTGTTTCTTTGATTTTCTTGTTAGGAAAAATAAATGATTTTTCTACATTAAACAGTCATTTTTAAGTAGCATAATCGTAGATAAGTCCTCAGAAACGAGCAAAAAAATTATGAGGTAAAACGAATTACAAAAAAATTTGGTGCAGATGCTTTTGCTTATCTCGAAGCCAAAACATACGGAATCAGTATCAGTCGGAGTCGATCTTCGGTGAATCTAGGATTTTCTCGAGGGGGGGGGGGGGGCAAATTTTCAAACTCTAGCGAGCAGTCTTCAAAATTAGAATTCATTGGTTCCGAGCGCACCTGTTAAAAAATTTTAGGGTTGTTTGGCCTAAAATGGATGTCATAAAATAATGTCAAAGAGGGATGCTTTGGTTGGTGAGGGGTCGAATCCCTGAGAGGAAGGCTCAATTCCTCCCCTAAATCCGCCCCCTGCCCGATCACGGGATAAAAGCCTCTACCCGATCTCGGAATTATCAATATACGTTTTATATGCTTCGCTTATGTATCCCTCGATCCGATTTTTGCCCCTGTAAGTTCAAAAACCCAGTTTGTTGAAATTGAATTTCTTAATTACGGTGCTTTTATTGTATTATATTCTTTTATATTTAATTATATTTTAGAATGCACATTAAATGTCCATGATTCATAGAAATCAAATATTAGTGGACAGACAGAAGTGAAAAATTCAATCATTATTAAATTTGGAATTCTAATTAAATCTACTACAATATGAATTGAGTGAAAACAACTAACTACTTTTATATCATCTATTTAGAGAATTCTGTAACCTACAACTTTATTGAAAATTTGGGATTATTTGCACGAATATATAAAGCACCCACTAAAATTTGTTATTCAGCTATTTAAAAATTGCTCAAATCTTGATAATAAGATAGAAATTGAAAATGTACATGACAACGCAAACCAAATTTAGGAACACGTGTACTATGTTTTTTATACTTTATTCAATCAAATTTCAGCAAGACATGTTTTTGCAGCGCATTAACATACTGTAATTTTCTTAAGTAAAATAACGAGGTGCTCGTGTGAGTTGGACTGTTAGTATTTTTAATACAAGTCTTTAATGTTTTTCTTTTACCGTTGTCTGGTTATCTAGTGACAAGTGGATCGCGAGGCGCACTGGTTGATCATTCGGCTTTTCATCAATCCGAATGACTTGTTTTTAGTCGCCACGTTCTTATGACGCTGCAAGTTCTGCCTCTTCAAAGCGTTCTTTGAGTTTGCTTTGTGCTCTTTCTTAGCTTTGAGCTTAGCTTGTTGGTCCTTTTTAGCGGCTTCAAACTTCGGATCTTCTTGAATCTGCAGCGCCGCTTGGAGCGAACTAGGTCTAACTTGATACTTTTTGGGCTTCTTTCGATGACTAACTAAGGTCCTAACATCGGCTTGACTGTTTTCTAAATAGTCTCGCACGTCTTCAGTGCGCGACACAGAAAGTTCTAGAAGGCAATTTTCGACGTAAGACGCCTCGAGAATTTTCTCCGCGTCTAAGTTTGCTAAGGAGGCAGTTGCTTCGTTCAGATGGAAACAAGAAGGCGGACCCATGTCCCAACAGTTAGTTTGACTATATTTAGTCTCGAATTGAGGTTCCGAGAAGTTGCTACGAAGAAGCATTGATTCAGAGGAATCAGTTTGGTCCATTGGGTGGTAGGAGGACTCCCGGATAGAGCTGGTTCTGCTCGTACTAGTAGAAGGCTCACTCGGTTCACCGTCTATACCAACTTCATGTTCCATCACATCAGCAGCACCTACGGCAAAATTTAATTAACATCAGCTTTATCGTATTAATATTGGGGGGGGGGGGGGCAAGTGGAGACTCGCGCCACTTGCAATACTCAGTCCAAAAAAAAATAACCGGAGAAATTATTGCCACATACTTTCACTAACAAAATGAGCCTAATTATCACTAAATTAAAATGGAATACTATCGCAAAAAAAACTTGCCTCTTAAAAAAATTTAATTAGCTTGCGATAAAAAACATAGCCAGAGTTGGAAAAAAACCATTGAACGCAAAAAAGACAAACTTTCGAATTTCAAACAAATATATGGCAATAAATCTCTTTGAATTTCAAGAACAATTGATAATTTGACCTTTTTTGGTAAAATTGAGAAAACGGAAAAATTGGATAAGTTTTTATTCCGCTAAAATCAAAAATTAAATCCCACCTTCGAAACTAAAACTAAACTAATTTTGTTCGCGCCATTTCGTCTTTTACAATAAGCAGGGCTGTCATGTTATTAACAAGGTGTTATTAACAGACCTATATTTAACATGTTAATAACTATCTCCTCCAGTGCAGGATTGGAGCGGTGTTTCTCAACTCTCGGACTCACTTATGGAAAACTCCGAAGTTCTTTGGGCGTCGAGAAGGCTGGAAAGCTGGCTTTTCTCTTTAAACAACTCAATGAGTGATTTTAAAACTCAATTTTGTTTTTAACGTGTTTTTTTCATATAATTAACATGTTAACATGTTAAAAACGTTTTAGTTAACAATATGACAGCCCTGACAATAAGAGAGTTTGTTCTGCCTACCTTCTAGTAAATGAACTTGAATTGAACTCAAAACTAGCATATATACCTAAAAAAAAGGGGGTCATTCATATGTGAATTTATTTGTATGAATTCATTTTTGCAGCAAAAATGCCTTCAAGTTGGGTTGAAAAAGAACTCTTAGTATAACGAAAGCATTTGCTGGTAGAAAACAGGCCAATCCAGAAAATGTTTGAAAGAAACCTCCTTGAGGAGGAATGGCTGAAATTATATTTTGCAAACATGCAATCTTAAAAACATGATCCCAAAATGATCCGACGAAATTTTGCATCGAGAAGAATTCTTAACTCCTGCGCTTTTACAATGGTAAACACACAGAGGCAACAAGCAAATAAAAGCAAAAGAAGCAACAAAACCGATGTGAAAAATGCTAGATAAATTTTAGTTGAGTTTCAACTCAGTTCAGTTTAAACAAAACAATATTCTTGCCGTCCATCAATTGTATGTTTACGGTCTTCTGAAATTTTGTATGCAATCAGTCAATAACTTGCATTCGAATGACTTTTTCAATAATTTTTTTTTGCTGAAATCAGCAACAACTATAATACAAGATGATCAGTTTTTCCTACTTTCAAAAAACTTGTGTGAAGAAAATCAAATCTGCTTTGCAAAACCGAGGACCTAAAATTAAAACTTTTTAAATTAAAAAACTAAAAACTAAATTAAAAATTTTTTAAATTAAACTGTTTTTTATGGCAAAATTGATTTAACTGAAGAAGGAAATTTTGTTTTAATTTTTTTCTCCTCTTTTTTGGGGTGCTACAGCAAGAGTTCAGTTTGGCTGCGCATCTAGTCGAGAGATATGACGGCTCCATTAATTGTCTTTTTAAAAAATATCACTTCTGGTAGCCTAGATTAAAATAAAATTAAATTTAGAAATTATTTTATCTGTGTTTTGTTGAATTTAAACAAAATAGGGTACATTTAAAGACATTTAATGAAAAAAAAAGGAAATCATCACGACCTATATAACAATCTGAACTACGTCCAGCGACTCTTAATAAGCCGAAAACAAACAAGACTGCTCGTATCAGGGCGAAGCCCTGAATGTTCCGACTGCCTATTAAGGTTTATGGAGCAGTAATAACATTAAAAAATTAAAAGTAATAAAACAAAATGAAATTTTTTTTAAAATTTTTTTAAAATAAAAATCATCCCCCCCACACGCCATATAAAGTACAAAAGGATAGATTTCGCTACTTGTAACAAATCAACTATGGCAAATAAGCTTCGTTAAACCAATTTGGAACGATTTCTAATACGGATTAACTCTCCGCTTACGCGTTAATAGCGCGAAATATATCGCGCGTTAATTGTCCCAAATTGACCAAAATGGCAATCTTTAAACCCCCATAACTTTACGAAAAAAGATCACAGGTGAAATATCTTTTCAAATTTGAGCTCAGGACAACAATGCCTTTCGAATGATATAAAAAAATTCCGTCAAAAATGGCTAGTTAAAAAGTCGAAATTTGTCTGAAGAAAAAAAAAAACCCACCCCGAGCACAAATATTCCGTTACTTTCGTATCGAAAGTCGGAACAACAAGATATGTTTTATCAAAGTTGATCGATTTACAATCAAAATGTAAGAACTATTTAGCTTTCGAAAACTGGGAACCTAAAACCGCGAATACTAAAAAAGCACTCAACCTCATAAATTGACCCGACGGAATGTCAATTGAAGCATGAAATAAAATCAAAACGGAGCCAACCAGTAAAAGATAAACCCTTCAAAAAACGTGTCCAAAATGGCATTTTGACCTTTTCTTTAAGATTTTCCCAGCAGCTCAAAAATTTTTGTCAAAAAGGGGTCTTTATAGCGTTCTGGGAGCGATAGCAAAATCAATATTGTCGACATAAAAAGGTCAACAAAGTTATAATTTGACTTTTTGGAACTCCACCCCCTCCTCTTGATAAAATCCTAGCTCCGCCCGTCTAGTGTCAAATTGAATAGTTCACAAAAACTTTCTTTTCTCAGTTTCAAAACTAAATTTTTCTTTAAAAAATGAGCAAAATTTTGATGCCAATTTCAGCTTTCCCCAAGGCACATTTCCCCATGCTTCATTTTGCAAACTCGACTTTACCTTAATTCTTCTCAGGGCTTAAATAAGGAACCATGTGCGAACAACTGTCAGATTCTTATTTATCATTTAACAGTTTTAGGGAGTGCACCTAACATGTGCAGGATTTCGCAAAATAGTTATTGACGTTTTGAGCTCAAGGAATTACAAATTGAAAGGAAATTTGTCCGCTCGAACATTGTAAACTATACCTTGTCCTGCTTTCTACATTTTACCCAAATGAAAAGATTGAAATTGGAAAATTACCATTTATCGATAAATATGGAACTACATAGAAATGGAATTATATCGTCAAAATCTTTCATAGAAATATCATCTTTAATTTTTTTAAGTTTCATGTAAAAAGCGATAGCGGTTAGATTTATAGATTGGTTGAAGATTTAGCATGCTTTCTTCTTCGCGCTCTGCATCAGTTTGATGATAACGCATTTTCTCAGCCTTCTAGCAAATGCAATCTTTAGCGTACAAATCGCACGCCATTTATGCAAGTTAAAAAAGACCACATTTGCACATTTACCTCACAAATACACATACATGTACCTTATACATTCACTTCAGCTATGATTACGTGTATTTCTAAGAGCCTAAGCGGAAAAGAATTGGCAACACATAAAACGAATGCGTCAGCAAAACTAAGGCTCTCATTTTATACCAGCTTAACGTGCAGAGATTCTTCTCTTTTTTTACATGAAGTGAATTTAATTTTTCGTCCTCTGATTTTCCCACAAAAGGCATAGCTGCTTGTACTTTGGTTGCATATCAATTGAACAAGCGCGAGCTTGCGCGTCTACGCAATTGACTGCTTGTAACCAAAACTCGCTGAGATAAATAGTAATTTGAGGGAAAGAATGGAGTAGAATAGTAACTGAATACTATACTATACTGTTCAGTCATACGACCGAGTTAATGTTAAGCAACTTACAGAATTTAATTCGTTCATTTTACTCGTCATTCACATAGTAGTCAAAGTCCATTTGAATGCACATGGACTATAGCTACAAATGAACTGCTAGTTCGAAGTCGGCATATATCAAACGACAATTCAAGAGTTATTTATATGGTAGGTCAGGTCACGAATGAAGCGCGTGAACAAATTTACTTGATCACACAGAAAAAGTGTTCACGTGTCAAATGTAAAAATATACAGTAACAGATCGTATCGACCGATCCGCTGCCACGTGTTTTATTCAGTCACGCCACTTTAAAATTTGTTCAAATGCACAAAATAGTCGAGCAATACCTGTGCCATGTAATCTTATGCTTGGGCAAAGGTGGTATGCAAAACAAAAAAAAATTCTAAGTAAATTTTAATTGAACTTCTTAGCGGTGCAATTTTTTTATGATGAATTGCTATTACCTTATCAACTGATGAGGCTTAATACCTAGGGAAAAAATAAAAAGTGCACCTAAAATCAAACGTGCACCACGTTCAAACGTTTCAGGGTACCCTTAATTTCTTGCCATGAGGTGGAACATTAAGTGGTTAAACGCTAAGCGATAAAACCAATCAACCACTCATTTCTCGTCATAATTTTTTTTCAATTATAAGAACAACCATGGATGCAGAAAAGTTTCTATATGTTCTAGTTTGGCCAGTTCATGTTAGTTTTTACAGATCGGGTTTTTAAAGTAAATGGTTCTTTTGAACCGTAATATTAGATCACATCTCCACGTCGAATATTTAAAAACAGAACATAGCCAATAGACAGTTGGAAGAGTCATTGAACGCAAAGATACAAAAATGACTTAATTTTGAAAAAAAACTTCAACTTTTGATTTTCAAAGAAAAAATATATGGCCTTAAAGCTCTTTGAATTTCAAGAACAAGTAATAATCGGCACTTTTTTTATTTAAAAATGACCCAATTTGAGACATCTGGATTATTTGGAAAAGTTTTTATAGCGCTGTGAAATCTAAAAATTAAATTCCACTTTCGAAACATAAAATCGATTCATGTTTTTTCACGCCATTACAGCTTTCATAATTGGAGAGTGCATTTCGCTTACCTTCTAGCAAATGAACTTGAATTGAACTCAAAAAAGCATATATACCAAAGGGCTTTCATAAACGCATTTATATGCACATCTTTCGTTATTAGCGCATTTAAAAAGTTTTCCTAAAAAAACGAAAAAAAATCATCACGACCCATATAAGAGTCTGAACTACAGTCTTCGACTCTTAAAAAACGAGAGCCACCCTAACAAATACGATTACCTTGGTGAATCGCTTGGTAAACTCACAACTAATATCGAGATTTACAATGGTCATACGGGGCGTGATTTCCCGTTCAATTGATAAATTTACGAAATTCTTATCTCGTCAACTTTAAGACAGCCTATCCAAAATGTTTTGAAGAAATTTATGTTTCCTTTGATACACTAATTTTTAGCCTAATTGTTTTAGCCTAATTGTTGTGATAAACTTAGCCTAAAACAAGGGATTTGATTGAACTCACGTTTCACGACGTTAACCGAACAACGCATAAAAGAACCTACTGATAAGCGCATTAAAGGGCACAATTATGAAGAAGCAATTTAAACTAATGCCTGACTTGATTGTAACTAAATCAGATGTTTGCACCGCAACTATCATTCTTTTAAGTACCTACAGTTTCAAAAATTATTTCACTGAACATAAAAAAAAATCAAATCAAAAGATTTTTCTTTTGCATTATTTAAAAAATAACAAAAGCTCTTCTCTAACCATCGTCATTAACTAGCACCCATGTAGTTTCGGTTGAGCACCCAGGTTTGATTGAGTTAGATTCTTGCTCCGTGCCAGTCTCCTTGGGAGTTTCGATTTCAGAGCTATTCTCGGCCTCGGTCTCTTCAGATGTCCAGATGTAGCTGCTCAGGTAACTCAACATATTCAATTTGTGGGTGACTTTATTTTCGAGCTTTGAAAACAAACAAGAAAATCAGTGAAGACTGGTATAATTTAACTCTGGCTTAGCGATCAAGAGCCTGTTGGTAAGTTACAGAGGTTGTATTGGAGACGATCGAATGGTCAAACAACAACTCGCAAAATTTTTAGCCTTAGTGCAATGCCTCCATTTGGACTTAAATTTACTTCAGCGAGTGCTCGACCAATCAAATTACATAATTAGGTGGCCAGTCAAAAAGCAGAAAAATCTAAAAGCAGAATGAGTCGAGAACAGGAAAAACTCAAAAATATTATATTTTGCAAGCTAATCGGTAAATTAAGTATAAGAATTGCCAATATTACCAAAGAAAGTAATTTTTTATGCATAATTTGAGTGATTAAATCAAGATTTCAAAAACAATTCAATTCAAAAACCTAATGAAATTATCCATTTCTTGCAAAATTTATTCATTTTCTTGATTTTTTTGACGATTCTAATATTTGTGTTATCAATTAGTCCAATTAAATAATGTTTTTCTGCTTTTCTGCTCTTGGACCCATTCTGCATTTGGGCTATTCTGCCTAATGCTACGCCTCCATATATTTCATGGAAATGTTGATTCCGTCGCTCAGGGGCGACTGGAATCGCCCACGAGTATCTCTGGTGAAAAGAGAAAGAGGATGATCACCGAATTATACAAAGCAGCAAAAATCTATATTTCAATAAGGAAACGAAGTTACTTTTAGTAGTCATTTTCAGTGTTCCAGCTAAAAATTTGGTTTTTAAAAATGAAGAAAAATTCGATTTGTAAAGTCCTGTGAAATTTTCCCAAAAAATGATCAGAATGTGGGCTGCGCATTGATATTTTCGACTGAAATTGACTCTGACCAGAAGTGCTTAAAAATTATACATTGAACTTGGTTATTTGTTCATTCATGTTTTCTCAAAAATAATTTTGTCTTACTCATCCGATGAATCAACTTGAGGCCATTTTTGTTCGCCCGCTCGAAGTCAAGATTAGATAGCAATACGCGTAGACAAACTTATTAGAACCTGCGCCACCTTTGTAATTATCTTTTGTTGTGCTCATAATTAATATCTGTACCCATTTCAGATCAGATTGCACTGGTTGATTGGCAAGGATAGTTATGGAGTCACACAATCTTATTGCGTTATCGTTTCGTAAACTGAACGAGGGAAAATCGCAGAAAACCTCGGATTTACGTCGAAACCTACTGGTGTTCACTGTAATATCAGCTTGCCGAACACAGCGAACACCTATCAAAAAAATTAACAGAAAAAGGACAATTTCTCTGGATCAGCCCGAGAGCTCACCGCCGAAGCAACCTCTATGTAGTTTCGAGCAAGCCTTTTGTAAGAGTCCCGTAGCCTCGGACGATTCCAATTCGACCAATAATTTGACCTCAGAGGAAGAGATCGACAATAGCTACCCAACTCAAGTGCCTATCTCATCCTATCATTGTCAGCCAATTAACCAGACCAATGAAATTCCATGCATCGACTCGTTTCTGGCCAGCTTTACTGAACCGCCTTGCCAAGACTATTATGCAAATCAAACCGAGCTTCAAGAACGAGACTTTCAGCATCATCCGCAATGTCTGCCAGTCGCAGCATTCTAAAACTTATCACTTATATCTAATTTAGTCGGAGAGCTCAGCTACTATTCCAATGTCTCAAAACTATAAATTTTGTCTGTTTCTGTTTTGTGAATCACATTTTATACGAATCTCAATATCAAATTTATTTGACGCAATTTCCGTTTTAATGCAATTTGTACATATTTATAATGTTAAAGTGCAATTGAATATCTCGAATATCTAATTAGATGATTAAAATCTTTTAAACTTTTTTTTTAGAATGGGGTCGATCGGCTTTCAGGGATAGGGTCCGTTGGCTTTAAGCCTAATTGTAGTGATAAGCTTCTTGCAGTGCAACATGGGAGCGCAGCTTGCCTGTTAGAATCATTAAAACCTTCACAACAACTTGAATATACATACGTAAAACTGTATACGCCAACTTACAGTTTTACTGTCAAAATTGGCGAGGTGGTTAAGAAGAAAAACACTTCAATTACGATTCAAAAGAGCCGATGCATTATCACAGTAACAATGTAGAATTAATATTACTTACATAGTCAGATTAGTTACTCAAATATATACTAAAAAAAAGGGTAAATTATAAAAGGGGCCCTTCGTTTAGGTACGGTCGTGCACAAGCTGGATAGGGCCCATACCACCATCATATAAATACATCAATAGACAATATTGCAGGAATTAAGTCAAGTCAGCATTTAATGCATTGTCATTAAAGATATTTACTTCAACCGTCCCTCCTCTATAATAGCACTAATTGAGTTGTCTATGAATTGAGTCGTACGCAATTTACCGGCACTTGCCGTAAATTTTATTATATACTTTTCAATATATACTTTGTAATATATACTTGGTTAAAATGAGTTTAATCATTTTTTAAAATAGAGAGAAATTATTAGATCAATAAAATCATCAAATTAAGAGAGAAAAGTGAAATTAAAAAGATATGTTAACAACTTTAAAGTTTGTAAGCATTGTGAACATAGTTAAATCTTTAAAACAAAGGGTCGACTAAGTTGTAGTTGGTTTTTAAGGTAGTTTATAATTTTAATATTTTGAGGGTCTATTAATCACTTGGGGTGGCCTATAATTGGCAAAGAGCCTGTTTGATTTACATGATATGTGAAATGAACCTTATCTACGATTGATATTAAGCATACAGCGGAAGTTTTTCTGATATCCGAAAGCAGAAAAAAAATTTTCGGCTATCCGGAACGATTTTTTTCCGCTATCCGGGTATTCGGCTCCGTGACTTTTCACTCGTATAACAGCTGTAGTTTAGCAGATGGTCTAGAGCAACTGAAGTGATACTGGGTCTAAAGCCGAACAATTTTTTTCAGACAAGTTGATCTTTTTTGTCGGCTTTATTGATTTCGCCCAATTTTTGTCAACATACTTGCCGGGTGTTTTATTTCTGTAAGTTTTGGTCAATTTTTTCTATATCATTTTTTCATTCTCCACAGGGTAAATATACTTCATGTTTTCCTGGTTTTTATACACGCCAAAGCTTTCTTACTTTTTAAGATCTTAAAGGGCGTGGAATCTATCTATCTATCTATCTATATCTAACTATCTATCTATCTATATCTATCTATCTATATCTATCTATCTATATCTATCTATCTATCTATCTATCTATACTATTTTTAATCTATATCTATCTATCTATCTATATCTATCTATCTATTTATCTATTATTTAATTGGCGTTTCATGTGACACATGTTAAAGAAGTCCCCATGTTGGCATGTTTAAGAGAACTCTATCTTTGCATGTTTCAACGTTTCAACGTATTATTTTTTGCATGTTTAACGAAAGTGTTTTTTACACGTTTAAGCTATATCGTATATTAAAACGCTCAAGACATTTCATTAAGCCCAGGTTTAATAAGTTCTTATGCTGGTCTAATAAAAGACCAAAACATGCAAGGGTTGAAAAGTTTACTCAAGTCAGCGTTTCGAAATTTGATGGAGCTCGAATGCTACAAAACTCTTTTCTTTTTTTTCTTCATTCGTAACGTATAACTATCACAGTTTTTCTTTCACAGATTACTTAAATAATTTTGAATTTCGCAACCCCATAGTTTGCTACCCCAATTTATGATTTTTTCAGTTTTTTTCCAAAAAACTTAGATATAAAAAGAAACTACCCGAACTTGAATTTCTCAACCCCATAGTGGGGAGCTATCGGGGTACACTCAAGAACTCTAAATCTAGCGTACAAGTATGACTGCTCAAATCTTATTGGTTTTCGAGATATGACGTTTTTAAATTTTTTTTCTTTTTTTAAAAAATTTGGATATATAAAAAACTTACTTAAATTGATTTTTTCAACCCTCTAATGGGGTTCTCTTGGGATAGACCCAAGAGCTGCCAATCTAGCCTCCAAGTATGACTGCTCAAATCCTTATGGTTTTCGAGATATGGCGTTTTTTATGATTTTTCCAGTTTTTTTTTTCCAAAAAACTTAGATATAAAAAACTAACCGAACTTGAATTTTCCAACCCTATAGTGTGGTGCTATCGGGGTACACTCAAAGGCTGTAAATCTAGCGTTCAAGTATGACTGCTCAAATCCTTATAGTTGTCGAGATATGGCGTTTTAAAAAATTTTTTTTTTTTTTTTCAAAAAACTAGATATAAAAAAAAAACTAACCAAACTTGAACTTCTCAACCCTATAGTGGGTTGCTATCAGGGTACCATCAAAGGCTGCAAATCTAGCGTCCAAGTATGACTGCTCAAATCTGTTTGGTTTTTGAGATATGGCTTTTTCATGATTTTTCCTTTTTTCCAAAAAAATAGATAAAAACTTTACCGAACTTGAATTTCTCAACCCTATAATGAGGTGCTGTCAGGGTACATTCAGGGGTTGCAAATCTGGCGTCCAAGTATGAGTGCTCAATTCTTTTATTTTTTGAGAAATGTGTTTTGTCAGTTTTCTGAAGAATGGTTTTGTAGCACCGGAGGTGCGATTGACGCGCTAGTCTATCTATATCTATCTATACTATATTTAAATGCGAGTGCCAGCTATCTCCTATGTTTAAGCATAATAATTTTGCATGTTTAACGAAAGAGTTTTTTCATGTTTAAGCTATATCAAATATTGCAATGCTTAAGAAAAATTTTCAATTAGTTTTCCGCTAGTTCATTAAATTTCAGTAATTTTTTTTGCGAGGTCTAATTAAGTCTGTCTGTCGGCCTGTATACCTGCTTTTTTAATTAATTTGATTATGTCCCTCTACATGTCTCCTAATTTTTTAACTTTCATCTATCTATCTATTATATATTTAAATACGGGCTTCACTATCTCGCCATTTTTAGGCTTTTTCAACATGTTATTTTTGCATGTTTAACAAGAATTTTTTCACGTTTAAGCTATAGCGTATATTGCTAAGGTTAAAGAATTGTTAGGTTTTCTAAATTAATTTTAGTGTTTTTCTAATCAAGTTTGAAATTAGCAACCTAATAGTGGGTTGTCAGAGTTTTCCCAGGTTTTGCGATTCTAGCTTCCATATATGAATAACCAAATCCTTTTAGTTTACGAGATAGGCAATTTTCGAGGTTTTTCAAAAATTTCTAGAAAAATTAATTAAAAAATTTCTCAATTTTTGAAATTCACACTTTGTAGTTGGGTACTGTC